TTATTCAGAATTTTTACACCAGAAGCAGTTAGAAATAGCTATTTGCATATCAAATCAAATACTCCAGGTAACTTTAAAAAAAGTCCATAGGAAACCTCCATTAAAAATAGAATCATGGAATCATAGAATGGTTTGGGTTGGAAGGGTTGCAGATCATCTAGTCCAATCCCCTGTCATGGTCAGGGACATCTTCCACTAGATCAGGTTGCTAAAAACCCTCAACAACCTGATCTTGAATATTTCCAGGGATGGGGCATCCACAGCTTCTCTGGGAAACCTGTTCCACCCTCATAGTAAAGAATTTCTTCCTTGTGTCAAGTCTAAATCTATGCTCTTTTAGGTTAAAACTGTTACTCCTTGTCCTGTCACTACAGACCCTGGAAAAAGTCTCTCTTCATGTTTCTTATAAGCCCCATTTATATACTGAAAGGCCGCAGTAAAGTCTCTCTGGAGCCTTCTCTTCTCCAGGCTGAACAATCCCAACTCTCTCAGCCTTTTTTCACAGGAGAGGTGTTCCAGCCCTCTGATCATTTTTGTGGCCCTCATCTGGACCCGCTCTATCAAGTCCATGTCTTTCTTGGCCTGGGGGCCCTAGAGCTGGATGCAGAGCTTACCCACAGGAAATGTTCTGTAGCAAACTAAACTCCTTTAAATAAATTTATTGAGAAGTTTGGTGATTTTTGCAGTTGCAAATAACTTCTTGAAATTATGTATATTTTGAAATGTTTTGGACATAATGGTTGTAAGTTCATTTAGTATTATTGGTAAATAAACCAAGCCATTTAGTATAACATATTATATTTGGTAGCTTTCTGTTAGAAATAAGCTAATTTTCCTCTCAAATGTAGAAAGGTGTCTATGTAAATGTTAGAAAGGCAGGCTGTGTTTTCAGTGGAGAGTATTTAAGCTACACTCTAACAATCACTACATTTTAAAAAAATGTTAAAACTAAAATATTATTACACAAAACCCCAAATAGTTTAAAGCTTATTTTACTAAATGAGAGTAAGACCAGTCAAAAGTTTCAGAAAATAGCCACAGAAAAGCTAGAGTCAAAACTGGGTTTTAGCCTTGCTCTAGGAGCTCTGCAAGAAGAAAGGCAATACTAACCCAGGTGCAGCTGCACCAACAAGCAGTTACTAGCCATGAGCAGAAGGTATTACAGGAGCAATGGGGGTTTTAAGTCATGGAAAGGATAACCATAGCTGTTACTTTGAGAGAGAAAACCAATAGCAAAAGTGTGCCAAATAAAGCCATCAGAAGGAAAGATTTCAAACTAGTCTCCTGCTGCTGCTGTCTTGCACTTTAGTAATACTCAGTATATGTTCCTCATCTTTTGTAAGCAAGTAGGCAGCGTTAGGAGCAAGCAAACCTCTAGCCCAGGACAGCACTGCTCCTGCAACACACTGGCGTCACGCAGACTTTAAAATCAAGAGCAGAATAGAAGTTTGACAAAGCACTGCTCAATAATTGATTATTTTTCCCCCTAGGATTTAATTAGAATATTGACATGCTGTTGTAACTTATGACACTAATAACTTGTCTGTCTAAAAGTCAGAGTGATTTAAGTTTTTACCAGATTAGACAAACTTCCTGATCCTGTGAACTTACTGGTAAAATCTTGGTATGACTGAAAACTACAGGACAAATGCTGATTATCTCAAAGAGATAATAGGATTGTAGAGTTTTTGGTATAGCCCACAAGCAAAGAGAATGATAGCTCCTTGGGGTCCCTTTGCTCAGTTGTGGGACAGAGGAGTAAGAGCATTGCTGAGCCCCTGGGCAATGAGGCAACACCAGGCTTAGCATTGTAATAACTACTTAGCCTTGCTAACCATCACATTTACACCACTTGTCATGGAGAGTGGTGTTTGAATCATGTGCAAGCTATGCTGTTGAACAACCAGAAGTAACCTTTGTCCTTTGTTTTCACTTTCTTTCCACTTTCATTTCTCTTCTTTCTTTAATAGTTGCAGTTTAATTGAGATTGGGTTTTTTGGTTTTTCACTGGAGTGCCCCAACGGCATTGTTAAGATTTCTGTGGAATTAAAGCAGGGAGAGTCATATCCCTGAATGGTATTTAAGAGAAACAATTGTTAATGGGTAGCTTCTCACTTCTTGTTTCTATATATGCTAATATATATTTTTTTAAATAAAATTACTTGGCAATCACTGTGAAGTGTTCCTTTGTACACCATACCATTATGAGGACTCTTTCATGCATAAATAAGGTAGCCCCAGTTTACTCTAGTTTAATCTTCTCTGAGGATGTGAACCTCCAGGGCAATTAGCAATTAAGTTACAGTGAACCAAGGCTACTTTGGTCTTGAATGAGTGCATCTACAGGAGTGATTAATGTGCCTTAACATTGAGGTCACTCTGTAGTTGCTTTGTCTTAACTTTTCCAAGTATATCAATGTTAGACATGGCCTATGTTTAAGACTCTCATTATTTTTGTGTGAATAATATATCCAAATCAAAGGAAAGGGAATTTCAGTGTTAATTTGTGTTTTGCTGAGAAACAAGTGGGGACTTAGACTTTGAAAATATTTTAATATATTTGAAAATAAGGTTTGGCCCTGGAAACACTAAAGGCGTATCACTGGAATTCTGGCACTGTACATCTTATTGTTTCTCTCTTTAGTACCCTCATAATTTTAATGGCTGTAGCAAGAATTATAATCTCTTTTCTGTTCTCACTCCCTGTGGCCGATTTTGCCACCTCCTTATAAAGGCTTCCTGTGTCCTTTACACTCCAAAAAAACCTGAGCAGGATGTAACAGGGGAAAAAAAGTTTATTGCATCAGATGGGTGATTTGACTCCATAGTCAAAACCCCATGTCTCAGACCAAGATGCTGCCCTAATTTGTTTTAGACATTGTACAATAAAGAATAAGTGTTGGCGCTGCCCCACAACACTCGTAGTCCAAGTCATAAAGGAAGAGGCAACAGGTGGGCACAGACAGGTGAAGAAGTGCAAGAGATAATATTGATCAGCGCACTAGCTAAAATAAAATGTACTGGCTAATGAGTTTCAATGTCATTTTTAGAGTATCAGAGCTCCATGTGTGTGAGAGGAAAAAATAAAAACAAAATGTAGAATGTGTGAAGGATGAGATGTAAAATGGCAGAGAAGCTAGCAGAAGCTGCTGTTATAAAATAACATCTACACTCCCCCTCCATACCAACTAAAACCTGGAAACTGCATGACATGTTGGTTTGCAACAATTGTAGTTGTTTTTTCCTGTGTCTTTTTCAACTGTATGAATTCTGATATGAATTTAGGTCATAAAGCAAATGAGTCTTAAAGTAAACTGTATGAAAGACCTTGATGCACATTTAAGTACATTTTAAAATCTTCAAGGACTTTAGGAGGATGGTTTGATATTAACTGATGAATTTCCAGAAAGACCATCCTAGGGCTGCCAAACAACAAGGATGTCAGTCCAGAATTAAGAGAATAAGTAGATCTTCATGGGCAAATATGCAGAGCACTTTGCTGGCGTTATTGTACTCTGTTAATGCCTTTTACCTTACCCATCACTTGGCTGGTTCACATTCATGATAGCAGAGTCACAAACCAGTAAAATTGACTAAATGCTGAATGTTTGATTTTAAGAAGCCTTTTTGTTGTGTTTAAACATCATAGGAATGGAATAGCTATTGTTTCCCTGAACCGGGGCCATCTTGAGCAATGTTCTCATAAAGCATGGTCAAAGGAGAAGAGAGTGGGGAGACTGCCCCAAGGATTAACATGACAACATAGAGGTTTTGTTTGTAGATTAAAGCCGTTGAATTTTGGATGAGTCGTTTTTGTGCTGGGATATGTTACCTAGCTTGCTCTGGTGGACAAGAAATTTTAGCAACTGGGTTAAATGAAATTATAGAAAACAGGGGCTGAGTCAGGAGTTGTATTTGCTCTTTTTTGTAGCTTCATGGGAGAGTTCAGACTTGATTATGGTGAACGGGAAACAGTAGACTTGTTAGTCCTGCTTTTCTAGCATCTGCTATTTTATCTACAGAGTGAAGGTTTGTTGAGAGAAAGAGGAGTACATAATGCTTAATTTAACTTACCATTTGGAAGCTAAGTTTTACGCTGTGTCACGTATACCTAGGACATGTAGCACGGAACTGTTTGTTAGCATTTGCATAAATAAAGACTTGTTTGACATTTATAGTCTGGGTGTTGGAGATAAATGCGTTAGGTTTCTGCAGCGGGCTCTGGGCCTCTGCCAACAGATGAAGCCATCAAAATAATTAAAAGGATCACAGCTCCATACTCTCAAGTTTCAGGATCTGCACAAGAAATTTTATTCTCTCTATCACAGTGGTATCTGTGCTTCTTTCAACTATATCCCCTTATCATCACAGATGTGTAGGGATTGTTAAGGCAGATTAAACTGTTGGACATCAAACCTTGCTAACATTGATGAAAGCTGGACACTTACCTGAGAGACACAGCACAGTACAGAGAAGGCTGGCCTGACACTGTGGATGCTAGCTCCTCATGAGGAGCAGTAAATCCACATCATGGAGCTACTGTACACAAGTTATTAACTGCTGTCTTCCAGTACTTAGTAAACCTCATGCAAGGTTTATCATTTTGGCTGTGGAACTCTACCAGTGCCAAACCTGCTTTTGAAACCAATCGAGCTGAGAAGATCTCAGCTGTAAAGAGGAGAAGCAATTATGCTTCTGGAGTGCTCATGGGGGAACTTCATAAATGAGGTGCTTTGCCATATGTACACCGGATGGGTATACAGGATAGGTATATAGGCACTGAAAGTGTCCCAGGGTTATCTGCAACAGTTGACAGCACCAGACTGTTGCCTGTTTGTCTGAAACTTTGACATTTTTGTTCCAACTAGCGCTTTATTGATAGCACTTCAAGGCTTGTTTGAGTTTGTGCTTTGGATCATATACATGCTATAAAAGAAGACAATGAGAATTTGAAGATGTCTTCTGTACTGATATCTCTGTGTCTTTCTCGTTCTTTACAGCATTTTGTTTGCAGACATTGTGGGCTTCACTAGTTTGGCATCACAGTGTACTGCCCAAGAGCTGGTGAAGCTGCTGAATGAGCTCTTTGGCAAATTTGATGAACTAGCCACAGTAAGTACAACATTCTTATTTCAATTTAATTTGTATTCCCTTCTGGAAAATGATGCATGAGCTACACATGTTCAAAATCTGTAATAGACTGATTTATCCCCACGTGTCACGAATTTTTATAGCTTCCATTTTTTATTAATATTCTGGAGAGAAAACAATATTTTAATTGTTTAGGAAAGCAGCTTAAGCTGCTATTTTCAAATATATTTTTCTTTCCCCTCCTTGGACGCCATTGGTGTTCTTCATTGGTTTTGTTTGCGCAGAATAGAGAAAATATTTCAATATTTACATTTCTGTCCTGCATGGAAAAAATCTGGATAATGGAAAATATGAATATTGGCAGTGTGGCGTAAACTACTTTCTGTGATAATAAGAAGCTACAGAGTAAAATTAGTTCTTCACAGAGAGCATTCCTTGTCACAGAAATGATGGTAGCTTTTCAGAGAGGCAAAATGGGATCCCTATCATAGCTGAGGCTTATGTTTTGGTCATTGCACTTACATTGTGCCAGATTCCCCAAGGAAAAAGAAAATGAGAGAAATGTTCCTTGCCTATAACTCCTAGCAGTCTAATGGTACCACAAGCTTTTGACAAGAAATGAGAGCAATGGATGTGCCTGAAAAAGCCACACACCTTGTTTCAAATTACAATATGCTGAAAATGTGTTTTCCCCTTGAACAAAGCACAACTTCATCAAATCTATCTTGTTTGCCAGCCATGTCCTCAGAGCCTTCATTTCTGAGAAGTATCACCTGCACATAAATTATGCTCCTCCACTATCTAGCTACTTTGTCTTCAGACTCTGTGCAGCAGCCTAGAAAACATATTTCATTGGGTCCCCAACATAAACAGCAAACATAACAACAATAAAACATAAATGTATTTTTTCAGTCCAAACTCACTTCTTGACGTAGTCTTCCACATGAGACATCTGAAGCCTATGGACACTTTGCATCTATGGCTCCCTCTTGATAAACAGCTGTCAAGGACCCCAAGGAGAAAGAAATCTGCTCCACAAGATGACAGGGTTGAGGAAGACCTATTCTTAGCTAAATGGGTTATCATTTGCTCAAGTTCTGTGTCCTGATTTGCACTAGATCTTCTGTTCAAGTCAGAACAGAGGAACTATTGTGTATTCCCTTTTTCAAGAAAAACAGAAGATTAACTTAGATGCTGCGTAGAGATGCAACGGATGTGCTGGTTGTTGGTATGAATTTGTAACACACTCATAAGCCTTTGTGTAACCCATTCATCACTGGAACTACTGGCAGTGCCTCATAGAGAGCACAGGTCCCCAGCCCAGAGTACTTCAGAGATGTATGCTTTAGAAATAAAAGAGACTGCCATGTAGATGATCACTGGCAAGAGTGTAAATGGCTTAAAAAAGAGTTTAAATGGCTTAAAAAGTTCAAATAGGCTCCTTTCTTTCATTTCATTACTGAATTTCATCCTTTAAATGTCAACCTGCCATCTAATAAGCTCTTTTAAAACTTAGAGTGATATAATTTGTGGAGTAGTCATAGCCATGAAACACAAGGCAATGTAATAACATGGGCATACTGTGACATAACACGAGATCCCACATGTGCACACAGAAATGCAGATGGCTGACATGTGACATGGTGTTAAAGCCAGGGAGATGGCTACTGCACCATGCTTGCTCCCTTAGCAGTGGCCAGGTGCAGCCAACTGGAGGTGTCAGTGACACCTGAAGCCAGGGTATCAGGCAGATGCCAGCTTTTGGTGCAGGGTCAGTTGTTTGTCAGGGAAGAAGCAGATCAGAGATAGCAGAAGAGCTAAAAAGCCTTAGCTTTTCTGTTCAGCCTGCATGCATTCTTCTTCCAAATTTGAAAATAAATCTCATGGCTTCTTTCAGCTATGTGAGGAAGATTTGTTATTTACTTGTTCTTCTAGTTCAGACTGTGCTGCATTGGGGTGTGATTAAGGACAGAACGTATGAGCTTTCCTTGGCGCCTTCTGATGTAGTAAAGGAAGACTTGTTATTGTGTCTCCTGCAGTCAGAAGAAATGTGCTGAAAAGTGTAATTTTTTGGAAGGATTCTGATTTTTTATTAAAACAACTTCTAGATATTCATTATTAGGACAAAACAGAGGACTGGGCTGATTTTAAAACAGTGCTATACTTTAGTATTCAGAATCATGAAGGAGGAAACTGCAGGGACTTTAAAGAAAAATGTATTGGTGATAGGTATGGTCCCTATGGCTACTAAAGTCTGATTTGTGAGTGTGCATGCTGTGTGCTGCTGCTTCTTAGGAAGCAATGTCAACTGAAAGGGGCAGTTTACGCCAACCCTTGTTAAAACAATTGTCCTGTCTTAAAACTCTAATGCTTAAAAAAAATCCCTGTCACCACTGTGGGAAGTGTAGTAAGTGTAAGGGAGTCTCATGAAAAGTCTTGGCATTTTGGCACACTGACACATTGTAGGAAAAGTGAGTCTTTGCTTTTTGACAGTATAGTTCTGAAGCTGACCAGAACCCCATGCTTCAGATAAACATAAAAAATTCTTTTTGAGAGATCTGGGACAATTTAGTCCTAAAGTTTGTCCTTCTGACATTTAGAAGCTGGTTTATGCTTTTTAGCATTAGATTTTTCTCTCTTTCTATATGGTGTGTGTTTGATTTTTTTGGTAAGGCAAATAGTTTTGCTCTTTCTGAAATGCTACGCCTTTTTTTAAATCAGAGTAGCTTCAAATATAGTTACAGCTCATGATAGGGAGTTCTGAAGGTGAACCTTATGTTTCAATTTGTTGTCATTCAACTCCTTTGAAAGTTTGCTTGTGCGTTCTGTTAATAGAGAGGGAAGAAAATTCTTACTCCCTACTGGAAATTATTTGTACTTTTATCATGTCCTTTCTTTTTTATTCACCTCTAGAGAAAACATGTTTTTCAAACACTTATCTTATACAGGATATTTTACCTTGTAAATCACTGAGTCTTTGAACTCTGTTAGGAGAATAGGTGATCAGAATACAGTACTTAAAATCCTGGCATGTTTTCTGTTTTCACAATAGCACTGTTTGGTTTCTTAAAGAAACAATCTTAGGTAGTCGTATTTTATATAGGACTTTGAGCCAACGTCAGTCACTTTGAAGAAAGGAAAGTGACTCTCAAAAATATAAAGCTAAACAAAAATGAGTGACAATATTAGTATCCTTGCGGGAGTGTAACTTCATCCTAGACAGACATCGGAGAATCCACATGGAGAGGCACTGTTATGAATGCCTCAGGGTTCATTTGTATGTCTGGTTACTGAAGTACTTGTAATGTCACAGTCTTTAGGCACCCTGACTTTCTGTATGCATTTTGGATAAGTTTGCCTATTCTGCAGAGGTTCCCTTGGGTTTCTACACAACAAGAGCAAGCCACCTTCCTGAACGTAATGCAGTTAGTTAAATTTCTCATAAGGCCTATGAATAGTTCAAATAGAAAGAATGATTTTGCATTAATTTCCATTGGATTTTATCTGCTGTTCAGGCTTAGTTTACTTACTTCAGGCTGTTACTTCTGAAGTTTCTCCGTTTCTTCCAGTTTTGGTTAAGCAGAGTAGCTTTGTGCAGTCTCAGATTTTGCCCTGATAGTCATTCTGCATTACATATTATCAATGAATGCTTTGAACAACTGATCCTTGCATAAGGTCTTCAGATGCCTTAGAATTCACCTTCAATACTATCGCTAGCTTCCAGTTAGTCATTCTTCAACTTACTTGTAAGAGTGACAAATTTTAATGAGATACAGTCATTTGCATCGTGTTGTTTTTATGTTCCCAAGTAATTCTTGGATGCATGACACTTAGGCTCAGTGCCTTGTTGCTTTAATACACTGTATATTTCAGTGCATTTTCTCTTCATGCGTTAGCCATGGCATGGATTTACTGTGAATGAGAGAGGTTCTCAAGTCTGCAGTTACCTAAGCAACGTCACAGAGAATTGCACATGCCCCTGCTCAGGTACTGTCATGCTCACAGCTCCACTATCATGTGATACAGTGCAGCTATATGCAAAATATTTTGCCTGTAATAAATCATCTTAATAGAAAAGAGGAGGCATTTCTCCAGCATCCTGCATCATAGTGAAACAGCTTTGCTTTTTAGAGAAGTTTTGATCTTCTTTAATTGTTCTTTTCTTTGATACATTTTTCTCACATATTTTCTGCATCTAATCTACGTGGCGAATTAATTGTTTGTGTTTACAGATTCAATTATTTCCCTTTCAACTTCCATGTAACTGCATCTTGGACTTCTAAGACTTTCCATTTACAGGTCGATAAGGACAAATGAAGTTTAGGCTCTGTTCAATGGACATCACTAGAAGAGGATTTTGATACTCTGAATGAAAGATCTTACTTGTTCGTGCCACTTTTGGCATCTCAACTATTAGCCTGACTGACACACACCACTTCCTTGTTCTTTCCATTTGCAGTTATGTATACCTTCAGGCTTTGTCAGTATTTGTAGTCTGAGCCTATTTTTTTCTTGCCATTTTAATTTAGTATCCTTTCCTGATTACCTTCTTAGCTTTTAACAATTTTTACTTTCCAAATTTCAGTGTTACTGAAGTGGCTTTTTGCACCTGTTCAGCCTCAAAGATATTGAACTTAGCAATGTAGCTGCTGAGCTTCTGTGTTGTTTTAACTGTGTCGAGCAGTCAATCCTTTGTGTGCTGTGAACTAGCTGTTCCTAGAAGCAATCACTTTAAGAAATTGATTCTATTGAATCTATAGAATGCTTTTAGTTTATATGAAGATAATTATGATGTATTTTTAAAATACAAAATAAACAAAGTTTTGTGGGCTGGTTAAGATGGGAAAGTTAGTGCTGGAAAACATAAATATAAACTTACAGCATGTAACCCTTCTTTATGGAAATTGGTAAGTGTGCACTAGAGGGGGACATGTACAAAGGCTAATTTTAAGGATACTTTTCTCCCCAGGTTTCCTTGATAGTGCAGACATAGGATGCCATTTGGGCAGATCATGCACGTA